CTGAGCTATAGAGTAGGTTCTCATCAGTTATCTATTTTATACATAGTATCAATAGTGTGGCTTCCATGGTTGATCAGTGGTAAAGAATCCGCCGGCCAATACAGATGACCCAGTTTCATTTTGTTTCATGTCTCAGTAACATTCCACTGTATATATGTACCACAGCTTCTTTATCTATTCCTCTCTTGATGGACATTTAGGTTGCTTCCATGTCCTGGCTATTATGAATAGCGCTACAGTGAGCATTGGGTTCATGTGTCTTTTGGAATTACAGTTTTCCCTGGGTATATGCCCTGTGGTGGGATTGCTGGGTCATATGGTAGTTCTTTAATACTTTGGCCGCCGGATAGGAAGCGATGACTCGTTGGAAAAGACCCTCATACTGGGGAAGATTGAAGCCAAAAGGAGAAAGGGGCGGCAGAGGATGAGATGGTTAGATGGCATCACGTACTCAAGCGACATGAATCTGAGCAAACTGGGCAATAGTGAAGGACAGAGGAGCCTGATGTGCTGCAGTCCATGAAGTCACAGAGTTTGATATGACTGAACAACACAGCAACAAATACTAATTCTATTTTTAATTTTTTTAAGGAACCTCCATACGGTTCTCAGAAATGGCTGTATCAATTTACATTTTCACCAACAGTGCAAGAGGGTTCCTTTTTCTCCACACCCTCTCCAGCATTTATTGTTTGTAGATTTTTTAAATAGTTCTGACAGGTGTGAGGTGATATTTCATTGTAGTTTTGATTTCCATTTCTAGTGCAAATTGATTAGTTGAGCATCTTTTGATGTATTTAATTGATCATCTTTTCATGTGTTTGTTGGTCATCTGAACATCTTCGAAGAAATGTCTATTTAGGTCTTTCATCCATTTTTTGATTGGGTTGTTTGCTTTTTTGATATTGAGCTGCATGAGCTGTTTGTACATTTTGGAGATTAATCCTCTATCAGTTGCTTCATTTGCAAATATTTTCTCCCATTATGAGGGTTGTCTTCTCATTTTTTTTTAATGGTTTCCTTTACTGTACAAAAGCTTATAAGTTTAATTAGGCCCCATTTGATTATTTTTATTTTCATTTCTCTAGGAGGTGGGTCAAAAAATATCTTGCTGCGATTTATGTCAAAAGGTATTACTGCCTATATTTTCCTGTAGGTTTATATATAGTGTTTTACATTCAGGTCTTTGATCCATTTTGAGTTTATTTTTGTGTTTGGTGTTAGGGAGTGTTCTAATTTCATGCTTTTACATGCAGCTGTCTAGTTCTCCCAGCACCACTTATTGAAGATTCTGTCTTCTCTTTATTGTCCTGTTGGTTTTAAAGAGGTAAGATGTTACATTGTTAGGGGGCCATGTGGCTGGGACAGAATGCAGCTTCTAGCTGAGACATACTTCTAGCCAACAGCTATTAGAGCAAGAAAATAGGGACCTCTAAACAACTCAAGTCATAAAATGAAAGCAAGAAACTGAAATCTGTCAATAATGTGAATTGAGTTTCGAAGAGGATCCTGAACTCCAGAAGAGAACCCCTGGCCAACATCTTGATTTCACCCTAGGGAGACCTGGAACAGAGGCACAGTTAGGCTGTGGCCGAGCTTCTGATCTACAGAGCTGTGAGATAATAAACGGATACTAGATTGTTTTAAGCCACCAAGTTGGGGAATAATTTATTACCAAAACCAGCACCTTCTATCTGCACCCTTATTTTCACATGGGGTAGATAAGCACTCCCAGGGCTGTTCACACCTTTGTTGGCACTCACAGGATCCTTCACACCAACCATCCTGGAGTGTTCACTGTATGATGCAGCCCCTGACATCACCTGGGGGGAGGGGGTCGTAATCAGCAGGTGAGAGCATTGTCAGGTCCACTGCCTGTCATTTTGTGCTAACACTTGACAGAATGTCTGGTGTGTACAGAACTGTTCTGTAATTGGTTGTAGAATGAATGAAAAGCCTTCTCTGGTATGCCTGTAACATAGTTTATTATGGAAACTGATGGGGCCTGGGTTGTGGGCAGGTGCTTCCAAGAGCAGTTTCTGATATACTTCATCCTAGGGCCACCATAGTCATCAGCCCAGACCTAATTAAATGTTAATTTTGATTTGGGCCTTCTATATTTTAAGGGTAATGCTAATTCACTCTCCAAACCCATGGAAAGTTTTCCCTACTCTGAAGTCATTTCTCCTCATCCCACATTTCAGTGTCTTCTCAAACCATCATTTCTTTGCCTTTCACGTCCATGGAGGCAGACAGACCTGAATATCTTAGCTTTGCTTCTCACTGGCTGGGGATCTGTTATTTTACGCCTCTGTGCATGGTTCCTTGTCTACAATGGGGAGAATAATTCTTACAGCTCTAAGAACTGTTGTAGGGTTTTGAGGGAGTGAATCCTTACTTTGCAAGGTCCACACACGTCATGGGCCTGCTCTTTTTGTTCATGGCTGTGTCCCCAGTGGCCCCTTCCCTTCCTCAATAATTGCTCAATGAATTTATAGAATGAACAATTTAGAGAAATAATTTAGCACAGTACCTGGTAGATGGTACGCATTCCACAACCGGCAGTTTTTATTATGTTATTTTGCAGAGGAAACTCACTTGGGTTTACCTATCCAGGTGTTCTGTCCTGGTTCAAATTCCAGAGATTTCCCCGTTTTATCACTCAGTTTTTAACGAGCTACTCAAGACACGCAGGGGTTCTACTGACCAATGGACATCCCTTAAATACAACACCCCCAAGAAAACTGACCCTCTCTGAGCATTTATGGGGGAGTTGGGATTCGAACAAAAGCAGGAAGGGCCAAATGCCAAAGCAAACAAACGACTCATTCTCCACCCTGGGAGAGAGTGTTCACCCCCGTTTTGCTAAAGATAGAGCGCGGGCCCTCCCCGGGAACTTCCTGGCTTTTATTAGTTCGTAATCCCAAATGTAACTTTTCAAAGGTTTTTCTTTTGGAAGTGTGGGTGTGAAAGTGCTTCCCTAATAACATCTTGCGGGAGGCTCTCGAACATCTGTACTTTTGAAAACCTAGCATCCGGTTGGGCTGTTTGGGTGGGTGGGGGACCCTGCGGGGTGGGAAGCAGCAGCCGGGGCAAGTTAACAACAAGTCTAGATGGCGTCTAAACAGAGGCAGAAAAATTAGGCAAAAATTAAAAATGGCTAATTACTTTGGCTCAGTTACACGTTTAATCAAAAGCCTGCCTCCCCCACTTTTTAGCACTGGCGTTAAGAAGGGAAAATAGGGCGCTTAGAAGTCTAAGCGATAAAGATCTTTCTCTCCACGAACTAAGGGACGAAACTCATTACAGATAAGTCCTGTCCTCCCATTTCCCTCAGATGCCTCTCCACGATTGCTAAAGAGGTTGCCGCTCCCCGCGTAGCTGCCAGGAAATCGGTCCAGCCCCGCGGCGCAGCTTTCACCCAGCCAGGGGTGAGAGGCGCACTTCCTGCGTCCTCCCCGCCTCCAGGCTGGAGTGCGGGAACCTTCTCTCCTCCCGTGGGGCGGCGAGTTGGGAAAACTCGGCCACTGATCAGCCGTGGCGTGGGGAAAGGGGGCGTGGGGCTCGAAAAGGCTGGATCTCGCAAGCTTAGATCGGTATTCCTCCCCTCCCCCACCCCTCCCCAGCCGGGAACAGGCCAATGGAAGGCCGAAAAGGAAAGGGAAAAAAAAAAAAAATTAAATCGCCAAGTGGAGCCGGAGTGCAAAGGCCGCTCGGCTTTGTTTCCTGGCGGGGGAATTCGTCGGGCTGGGGGCGCGAGCAGGGAGAGCAGGGGGCAGGCAAGGCGCGCCCCGCCGTGGCGCTGCCAGGGCGAAGAAACCCAGCATGAAACCTTGCCGCCCTATAAACGCAGCCGGCCGCCCCTTCCTCGCCTCAAACCCGAGCCGGGGTCCCCCCGAGTCTCACCGTCCGCGAGCAACGCAGACGGGGGCGGGGGGAGACCGAGTCAAGCCCGCTCAAAGAGTGGCGTCTTTAAGAGCTCGAAGGACGGGAAACAGGCAAAGACGCCGGCCCGCGAAGGCAGTCGCCCTCCTCCCTCTCTCCGAGACCCGACCAGAGCAGGTCCCCAGTCCCGAAACTGCCCCGGTCGGCTCAGCAGCACGCGGGAGAACCTAGTTGTGGGAAGCCCGAGAGGCGGGAGCACCGCGCTGCAGCTTTAAGAGCTCGGGGCGCGCGCGCCCGCGACCGGCAGCCCGGCTGCGCGTCCCCGCCGCCGCCGCCGCGCGTCCCCTGCTCGCTCGCTCGCTCGCCGGCTTTAAAGTCTCTGCCAGGATCCATGCTCACATGTTACTTCCTGTATGGAGGCATGGCTAGTTTCCAGCCCCGCGCTCCCCGATCCTCCCCAGCTCGCGCCAGAGCCACAACTTTCAGGAGCATGGACTGAAGGCGCCCTCGCCCCTGCGCCCCTCTGAGATCCTTTGTGTTTTCCTCGGTTTCCTCCGGCTGTTCTATTTTGGGGGATCTTCGCTCTCCCCCCGCCTCTACCCTCCCCTTCCCCGCTTGCAAACATGCCTCCTTCCTTCCCGGGGCCCTGGAAGGAGCTGCCTGCCTGAAGCCCGGAGACGCCGCGCCGCGCTCAGCCCCGCCGCCGCCCGCCGGTTCTCGGGCTCCGCTGCCGACTCAAGTTGGGGATCTTCGGCTACTCGCCGCCGTCGCCGGCGGTCTCTGCCTGCCCGGGGCTCCGGGCATCGCCGCCGCCCGCCGACTCCTCGCCCTGCCCGCTCGACTCGCTCCTTTTTGAACATAAAGCAGCCTTTCTCCGCCGAGGATCGTCCCCAGCGTGGCTCCGCGTTCTCGGCCACTTTTTGAGATTTTCCGGGGGGCGCTCGGCGGCTTCCCGGATTCCAGGGGGGACTCGGGCCGCCGAGCGCGGGGGCCCCGTAGAGCAGGCGAGCAGGCGAAGAGCCGGGGCTTAGCGGAGGCTCACACCGAGGCAAGAACTTATTCAACAAGTTTACCACCCCCCCCTGCCTTCCTCTTTTCGATGTGCGTTTTCGGACATGCGGAGGTTACTGGAACCGTGTTGGTGGATTTTGTTCCTGAAAATCACCAGTTCCGTGCTCCATTATGTCGTGTGCTTCCCGGGTGAGTGCTGACCGCCTAGGGGACGCGGCCCTGGCCAGCGCGCAAGGGGGGAGCGGAGTTGCCGCCGGGGCATGGAGCTCAGGCGCCCGTCCCGGGGACCCCGGAGAGGGTTAAGTGGGGGTCGAGCACCCGGGGAGGAAAGAGGGATCCGCTCCGCTGACTCTGGCGGCGTAATTTAGGGAGGCTCGTGATTGGGAAGGGTGGAAGCAAAGAGCTGGCCGGGGAGATGAACGGGGGCCGCAGGGGTCTATCTCTCGCTCGGCTTTGGGGGCCTGGGGGAGCCGGAGTCGGGAGAAAAGACTCGTTCGCTGCTCCGCCGCTGTGCAGGAGAGCTAGAGCTCTGAGGCTGTTGGGGAGAGTGGGGCCATGGGGAGGATGCCTCTGTGGGTTTGGGGGGATGCCTCTCTGGGTTTGGGGGGCCCTGGGTGCGTTCTCCGCTCAGGAGAGGATTGAAGGAGCTCAGAAGGGGGGATTGGATTTGTTGCTCCGCGACTCTTTGGAGGGGCTGATGTTCGGGGAGTGGAAGCTGCAGGCTGGCCGTGGAGGATTGGGGATGTCGGGAGCAGCCTGCGTTCGGGTCTCGGGAGTCAGGGACGACCTCAGCTCCGGGCTGGGGCGCGGGCTGCGCTTCGGTGCTGGCGCGAGGGAACCTTTCTGGCGCGGGGACCTGGGCGCGGTGGGAGAACAGGGAGCAGGAGGTTTAGGGAGATCCGTGACTCCTCATCTCGGGCCCGCGGCCCCCTTTGCTTGGCTGGGCTGCTCGGGTTGGGGCGGGGGGGGGGCGGTCGGCGGCTGGGTTGCTGTTCGCGCCGGGGCGGATTTTTTTCTGTCTCGAGCCCTGCCTCGCGCCCTGCCTACCTGCGTCTTTGCCTTTTTGCAGGCTGTTTGCAGCTGGCGGACCCACACCCGCACCTTTCTGGTCGGGTTAAGACAGGAGCACTGTTGACCATTGATGAAGATAATAAATCACCACACGCGGGTGTGCGGCTCGGCGATCCTCCACTTCCAGCCCTCCATCGGCCGACCCGCCTTCTTCTTTTTGCTAGGGGAGGGCAGAGGCCAGCTGCCTCCCTCTTCCCTCTTGCCGCCCCCTTTACACCAGGCTGCAGCCCTGAGCTCCCTTGAATCTGTCCGACCCCCTCTCCCCGGTGGAGGCCACGTCCCCTCTCCTAGTCGGGAAAGGGGTGGGAAGAAGGGGACCATTCATATTTAATCCTTTGCTCTTCTAAGGACAGGGCAGCCCCCGTTTTTCTGCCTTCTCGTCCACCAGCTCCTGGATATTCGGAGGTGGGGGTTATCCAGAAAAAAGGAACGTGGCCTCCCCCCCATGTTTGTGCTCCCTCTGGTCACAGCCGCCTGTCCCCTGGTGGCCCGAGCGCAGATTTTGGTGCAACGGGTCCCCCAGCTGCGTCCTGCGCCCTGGAGCAGGGTGCGGGCGCTCTTGCTTGCTCTCGGGGATTGGCAGCGAGGGTCCCCTTTGCAGGCAAGTGGGTGCCTCGAGGGGCAGAGAGGCAAAGCGCGGTCTTTTTTCGGCACCCCGCTTTTCCCTCTGCGCATCCTCCTGTCCCTGGAACCGCACAGAACTCCTGCCACAGTCCTGAATCCCAGCTCGGATGCGGAGCCAGGACGTGTGTCCACACTCGACCCGAGGCCTGGGTTTGTCCACCAGGCTCCTGCCTCCGCAGGGGGCTGGAGGCGGTTTTGACATTTACTCCTAAACATTCCCTCCACCACTCCTAGTATTTGTGTTAGCCGTCTGTCCCTTCTAGACTCTTCTTTGCCGTGGACTTGCCGGCAGAGTGGGCTCAGACGCACACACACTGGGGTTTAGCTTCGTAAGGGTCACGCTTTAATGGGGGCAGCGGGAAGCAGCCAGAGAGCAGCCTTGCGAAATACAAGGAATTTCTGATTCCACTTCTAGCGTTCACCTTACACTCGGGTGTACAGTCAGTGGGCCAGCCGGGATTTTTCTTTTTCCTGATGTCTGAGGAAGCCTAAAATCCAAAATGGGACCGCCAGTGATGCCTCCTGCTTCGGGCTGGGATAGTTTTCATCTTCCACGTTTCCTCTGCATGCCCTCGCTGCGAGGTAAACAAAGAGCCCATTCCGTAGTCCGGGAGCCAAAGGGTGTCTAAAAGGGAAAGGGCAGCGGTGCCCGGGGAAGGAGGGTTGTGGTTTGGAAGAGTGCCGCCGGACAGGGTGCAGCGGCAGGCTTTGCAAGCAAAGTTAAAATGTCAGAGCCGGAGACGTCGGCTTTCGGTTTTCCCAAAGTGTCGCGACGCCGCTGGACCTCAGGGGGCGCCCCCGAGCCGCTTGTCAGGCTCCCGCCACCTCCGCCCGTCGGACTCGGCCGCCTCGGTGCGGTTGGGGCCGCGGTGGGAATGGGAATGGGGCTGGGGCGCTCGGCTGGGTCCAGAGGCGCGGCCCTGTAGATGCGCCCGGGAGCGGAGACGCGGTCACAGCTCCTCCCGGCTGCTCCTCGGTAGCTCTAAACCGCCCCGGGACGGCGGGGCTCTGAGTTCGCCCTGGGACGCCCCCCTCAAACCTGGAAAGCGTTTAGTCTGGCTGGTACCAGGGATAAAGAGGCTTCTGCTTAGGGTTAGGGTCCTCCTTGTGACATCGTAACCAAAATCCCTTGTTATTTTGTCTTCCCTCTCAGAATCGCGCCAACTTTTCTGATAACGTTTTGTTCTCAGCTCCTGTTCACGATACAGGGTAGCTGTAATTTGGAAGGGTTTTGGAAACATCGCCCTGGCATGAGTTTTTCTTCAGAGGATGGGAAACAGTGGCTTTTAGTTTCTCAACAACGGTGTGGCGGCTGTGGGACCCGCATCACCCTTAGTGTTTCCAGTGATGTTTCCCACTTTGCAGAGCATAAGGGTTATCTACATGGTGTAGTGCATAGTATCTTGTTTTCTGACATCTTAAAAAAATACTCATATGGAAAATGTTATGAAAATGGAGAAACTTAATGGGCCCCTGAGAATCCTCTGTCCAACTGTAACAGTTACAACTCAAGTTTTTGCTCTTCCATTACCCACCTCCCCAATACCCCATTATTTTAAAGCAAATCTTATCCATAGTTCATTTAGGCATTTGGTATATATCTCTATAATCACTGGGAATTTAAGTGCATCTTACAGCATATACATTGTTACTTGAAAGGGTTAACATTTTGTGTATTTTATATTCTTAGCTTTCAAAAGAAACTTATAAACAATTTCTTTTAAGTTGATTTCTCTTTCCATCCTCAGAAATGCTTCTCTATGATTCTGGCATGTTTTGTTGTATATTTACATCTAGGAGGTTGATACTGGAAATGTTTTAGATGGGTAAGCTCTGCTGTGTACCTTGATGTGTCAGACTCAGAGGATCTGTGATTGAAGTCCCAAGAGTCTCCCTCTGAGCTGGCTCTTGGTATATTTGCATGTACATGCTTTGGTCCTGGTGGCCATCCTTCATGGCCTTATTAGAAACATGCAGAAGTAATGTTTATAAGTCAGCAGTCTTGCTCTTGAGAGATGGAGTGAAAAATCACGCACCTCCAACTCCTTTCCCAAAGTGTGTGGTTTGAAAATGAAAGATCTTTGTCCAGCCTTGAAACTGGGTCCCTTTGATGCAGTGATGGAATGGACTAAAATCTTTGCTGATTCCTTGTAAACAGTGTTCATGTCACAGAGTTGATTAAGTTAGAATATTAGTACAAATAGACGTGACAGAAAGAAGTAGGGAAGTTGCTCTTGGTGGAGGCAGAATGGTTATTGGGAAGGCTGGCTGAAATGAGAAAAAGAACTAACCAATTGTGAAGCTCTGGGTAACTCCCCTTAATTATGGGCCCATTTTCACAGAGTAAAAGATAATGTTTACATGAGGCAGTACAGGGAATGCTGATGATTTAACATAGCAAAATAAAACAAAAACCCTTTCTGATTTCATCTTTCTATTTCTATTCTGAAGAACTCCCAAGTTTATGTGGTATAATCAGTTACATATCAGTGCACTAATTGAAATGAAGCTTCTCGCCTCTCATGAAAGAGCATTTAAGATGCCCCAGAGCAATTGCTGTTAGGGATCTCCTACTTCCTTACCCTTCCTCCTCATTTTCCTAGAAACTTCTTGACCAAAAGGACAATCTGGACACGTCAGCCAGACCTAAGGTGAGGAAAGAAATTAAATGTTGCTGGTGCTTTGTTGTTTTCCTATTTCCTTTTATGGTGAAATTAAAAAAGAAAATCTGAATACATAGCATTCAACATTTTAGTTACAGCATGCAGGACAATAGTGTCATTTTTAAGCAGAATAAAGTTGTAATAGGGGTGTGCTTTCTGAGTTGCAAAACTGAAAAAAACTGTGATTAACACTTTAATCCTAGGACATATCTTTCATAGAGTCACATTTCAAAAATCAGTTTATGGTAGAAATTCACAGCATCTGAAGTTATCTCAGAAGGGCTTGATCCCCCCACCCTCCCCCCAGTATAGGCCTTGCTATGCTTCGGTTATAGATTGAACATTATTAGGTGATGGGTGGTAATGACCTGAAACTTCACATTTGATTGTCTGTGTAGAGAATAAAAGGCCTGTGTATCCCACAATATAAAGGAAGCCAAGAAAACGTGCCTGCCTCCACTTTCAGTTCTCCGTCTAAGCTTGATTTAAGCAAAGCTGGTAACTATGCAGGGAGGGCCTCGGGAAAATGAGACTGTTCTTCTGAGAGGAGCCTGCCCCCAACAGGCAGTGAGAGCTGCTTGTGGAATTCTGCGGCTGTTGCAGAACCAGAATGAGGCATTGGAACCAGAATGAGGTTGCCTAGGCACACATTAGGCCCTCAGTAAGTAATCGCAGATGATTAAATGATCTGATACCTTTGTTTGCCTGAGAAATGGAAGTGACTCTTTTGCTTGGTATAAGACCCAGGCCCAGAACTATGGCAGTGTTCTGTGCCCTCAGAAGATCAGATGCACCTGTGAAAAAAAGTTACCTGTTACAGACTGTGCTTTG